CCATTGTCATTTGCTCTTACCGAGTTCCATTTTATTTTATTATATAAGGAACGTGTAAAAGCGATTTGTCAACTAAATGATCAAATCGTTTTTGATGATTTTATTCCACTTGTGAGTATATTAAAATAGTAAAATAGATATATATTCCTAAATTTTAAGGATTTTTTTCTTTTTATTGATAGAAAGCAGGAGAAGAGGTTCGAACTATGACTGTAGACAATGTAAAGAACACGTTTTGGATTTACACCGATTCTTCCATATTCGAACTTATTGTTTCCAAGGAAGACCGAGATGTATGGAAGTTATATTTGGAAAAACAACAGTTTGACACGTCTTTACAATATTGCAAGGTAAAGTAATATAATCAATTTCGATTATTTATCAATTTTATAAAAAGAGTTAATTAAATTTTCTATTTCTAGAATCCAGCACAACGTGATAAAGTTCTTACAACTCAGGCCGAACATTATTTTTCACGTAAACATTATCTTTTGTCTGCTACATTTTATGCACAATCGACTGTGCCTTTTGAAGAGGTCGCACTTAAATTTGTTGAACGAGATGAAAGAGATGCTTTGAGAAATTATTTATTGAATAAACTTGATAAACTTCGTAGACAAGTTAATAAATAATTAATATAATGAATGTTGCTTTTAATTCTAATCTCTTTAATCGTTAAATTATTTTTTGATTTTTTCGTTAGGATCGAACTCAAAAAACAATCATTGCTACTTGGTTAGTTGAAATCTATCTAAGCAAAATCAATAATTTAGAGAATTTAGCAGCATCAAGTGCAGGCTCTGATGATATTAATAACTATAAAGTAGAACAAACCGTTTTGGAAGAGGAATTCAAGGGATTCCTAGAACAATATAAGGTATGTGTCGATTATTGTTATTGTAATATATATTTTTATTTATTTATTTATTTACAGATACACACATGGTCTAATTAAATTTTTCCTTAGGCTGATTTGGATAAGAAGACAACGTATAGTTTAATTGCTAGTCACGGGCGCACCAATGAATTATTATTTTACGCATCATTAATAAGTGATTATGAGAAAGTAATTTCACATTGGATTCAAGAAAGAAATTACAAGCAAGCACTGGGTGTCCTTAGTAAACAAGTATTAATTTTAACGATAATATTGTTATTTAAACAAAATTATTGTAAACTCATATTTATGACCAATGATATTAGGCTTCCGTTGATACGATTTATAAATTTGCTCCTGTGCTGATGGAAAATGCACCTAGTGAAACTGTTTATGTTTGGATGCGACAACCAAACCTCAATCCAAGGAATTTGATGCCTGCTTTATTAAAATATGATCATTTAAAAGCTCCGGAGAACACCAAAACAGTAATATTATTTAACAATGTTCTATTTATATATATGAAAAGCCTAACTAACATATATTATAATTATAGAATCAGGCAATAAGATATTTGCAATATGTGGTTCAACAACTCAATAATACGGATCCGGCTATTCACAATTTCCTTCTCACATTGTACGCGACACAACCTACACAAGATGAGTCTGCCTTACTCCAATTTTTGGCATCCGAAGTATGCCCAATTTCTTTTTGCTATTATATAATAAAAAACAAATTCCACATATTCAAAATATACCCTTTTATGTAGGGGCGAGAACCATACTATAACTTGGATTATGCACTTCGGCTTTGTAGCCAAAATGGAAGGATGCAAAGTTGTGTACACATATATAGCAATATGGGGCTTTATGAAGAGGCTGTCGATTTAGCATTGAAGGTAATACTTCTCGCGTAGTTATAATATCGTATGATAAATTAAATAAACTTTATACATTTACTAGCATGATGATTTGGAACTTGCAAGAATCAATGCTGATAAGCCGGAGGATGATGATTCTTTACGTAAGAAACTTTGGTTGAAAATTGCGCGTCATGTGGTTGAAAAAAAAGGAGATATAAAAACGTAGGTTTATTATAAAGTTAAAGTTTGTGTTTTTAAAAGTTAACATTGTAATTAAATTGATTTAGAGCGATGGATTATCTCCAGCATTGCGATCTGCTTAAAATCGAAGATATTTTGCCATTCTTCCCAGACTTTGTTCTCATAGATGATTTTAAGGTAATTTTTTATGAAAACATCAAATGAGTTAATTAACTATTATTCAACCGATTGGTTACTTTTTAATGTAGGAAGAAATATGCGCAGCCCTTGATGAATATAATTCAAAAATTGAGGAATTAAAGGTGGAAATGGAGGAAGCGACTAAAAGCGCCGAGAGCATTCGATTAGACATACGAGAGTTACGATGCCGGTAATTATTTGTTGAATAAACATTGTATATTATAATTTTATACTTAAATTCTGACTATATAATTTTTTTTTTTTACCAGACATGCGGTTGTAACGACTGGAGAAAAGTGCTCCATGTGCGATTTTCCACTATTAACGAGACCTTTTTATGTTTTTCCTTGCCAACATGCTTTTCATGCTGATTGTTTGATAACCAAAGTAAGCAACTTTTTGTTTAAATTGTAAATTGATGATGCGTTTAAGCATTTTGCTGATATTAATTATACCTATTATTAGGTTACTAAACATCTTAATCCGAGGCAATTACGTCGTTTTAAAGATTTGCAGCAACAAATAACAAAAGAAATGAACAATGTTAATCGTACACCTGATAATAATGAAGCACGTGGACGACAGCAACAACCAGCTGGAAGTTTAGATCGATTAAGAGGCTTGATATTGCCAGATACAACTGCACATAGTGGTGACGATGTTGCTGTTGTTGTTCCAAAAGTCGATCAACTAAAGGTACATTATCAAATCATTTTTTAACTAAATTAAATATGTCCCCTAATCTATTATTATTTTTTTTTTAAAAAAAAAGGATGAGCTTGACGATTTAGTTGCATCAGAATGTATTCTTTGCGGAGATATGATGATTAAAACTATTGAACAACCATTCATAAACGAAGAGGAGAATGATCTGTTGGAATCATGGGCTATCTAATAACTATTATTTAAGTATAAATATATCACCAAGTATTGTAGTATATATTAATTTATAAAAGGTAGACTTCTTGTACAATAAGAGTTATAAAATTTTATTTACTTTAAAGAAAGAGAATTATTAGGTTATTAATAAATGCATTATAAATAACCAGTTTGCATTTTTTTTTTTTTTTTTTTTTTTTTTTTTTTTTTTTTTTTAAACATTTGATTTTATTATTTGTTTAAATCCACTAAACCTAAAAGATTCATCATCTATTAAAAACGCCGTTATCCCAGTGGGATATGTACAAGGTGTAATGAAATATCAGATAATAATTATATTCCTGCCAAAAGTATCGAAAATTAATTTATAAAAAGAATAAGTTTTTTAATTATATATTATCAATCGATAAAGTGAAGCTAATTGAGTATAAATTGAAAAAGGAATCCAATCTATTACTTTTGTAAAATATATATGAAATATATAATAAACTTCATTTATAATATTTTAAAGTAATTTATCATTTTAAATTTATTAGTTTTTTTTTTTTGTAAATGTATTCAAATTTTTTTTTTTAACGTGCGGTAGCTTTGCACAATCTTTATTAGAAGTAAAGTAAAATTTTACAATGTTACAAATTACAAAAGAGAGAGTACAAAAATTTCTATCTAATTAATAAAACTAAATCAAAATCAACCTTACACTGTTCCAGACTAACCTATCCAGATTAACCTATCTAAATTAAATTAGAATAAGTTCAACCATCCAGTACAGGGGGTTTGGTTGCTACCAATCCAAAAATTTGACCAGTTCATACTATATCTAAAAGAGGAAAGAAAATAAGGTGAAATAATAAAGGAATGTGGGTTTGATGAGGGAAGCCAGTGTTGATGAAGTGTGATTTTTGGTTATTTAGTGAGATATTATTAAGGTTTTCAAATTGTTTGATGATATTGCATCGATCAAGCCAAAGGCTTTTTTACTTTAGAGAATGTATGATTATAAGTAGGAAAGGAGTCCGTTTGTAAGTTAGAGGTTATTAATGAGGTGATGGATATAGTTAAATAAGAAGAAGAGTATAATTCCTTTAATTAAGTCAATAAAGTTAAAGAAGCCAATTTGATCATTCAAGGACCAAATGTTTATATTAAGTAGATCAGAGCAATCTTGAACATCAGAAGTTAACATAGTTAATTGTTAAGTAAAAATTGTTTAGTAGAGAATATAATATCACAATTTTGGTGTTCAGTACTATTACAAATCCAAATGTGATCAAATGTTTCATAAGAAGATAAGCATTTAAAACAATTTTATAATTGGTTATAGAGATCTAGGTGTCTTATCTTAAAAATCTCTAGTATGAAAAGTAATTCAAATATAAGTTTAATTTTAAATTTACAGATAGATAAAACTTTGAAGATAGTGTACAAGTTATTTTCATTATCATTAAGAATAAAGGATATATATAACCAGTCAACATTCATTGAATTGTATTTATAAAGATATAGAAGTAACTGAATATTATGAAAGTTAATTAATTAGAGAAGGTCTTTCACAAAGTATCTTTATAAAGTAAGAATGATGTTGTTATGAAAATATAAATTGCATTGATATTCAAGTGTTATATATTTCAATGTAAGATAAGAACCATCAGCCTTCATTAAGCATTAACTATGTTATTATAATGATCATTTAAATGAGCTTTGACCTTATAAAATTCAATAAAAATAGATTTTTCTCTAATTAACTTTATGCTAAAAAACCAAATTGAATAATAAGAAATTTTAAATATAAGGTTAAAAGTTAGAAAAAAGGTAGAGAAGTAATTCATTTTGTTAAAGAATAAAATAACATTTTGTGAATCTATAAAAATATTAATAGAAGTATTTATGGAAGCTACATATAGAGCAGAAAGTACAGCTACTGGTTCTGCTAAAGAGAACAAGAGTTGAAAAAGAAAAAGAGTGACATTAAAAGAAAGTAAAGATTTTAATGAATCATATTACAATCAAACCACACTTATATAGAGTGAGAAAATACCTAAATTAATAAGAAAACCGTTAGTATAAAATAAGAATTTAGTTGATTGTAAGAAAGAATTTGTTAATTATCAAGAATATCTATATTAAAAATTTGTTTAGAAAGAATAGAAGGGAAAGATAAAGATGCTGAAATATTAGGTAAACTACTATTGACTAAATTATGATTAAATAAAGTAATTTCGTATAACATATAAGTAGATAGTGAATAAATATAACAAATATTTATGGTAAAGAGGGTTTTAATATCAGTACAGAGATTTAAAAGAAAGGTCATAAAATAAGCTTTATATTTGTTTCTCATATTAGAGGAAATAAAAGTAGAATTGTCATTAAGCAGATATTTATTATAAGATAACAATAACGTTTTTTAAGTAAGATTAGAAAAAGTGTTTAAAATGTTATAAATGAATAGTATTATCTTCAATTCTGAGTATTTTGTTAATTATGATAGAGTTGGAGTTTGAATGCTAATCCATTGCAAAATATGTAGTACTTTTAATATAAATAGAAGGGATTAAATAAATGTTATTACTATGTGAATGATGATATTGTGATAAAATGATTTTTATATTTAATGACAATATAAGTATTGATTGCAATTTGAGAAATTACAAGGGAACTTTTGCAATAGCCAATATTGCTAAGGAAAATTTGAGATTAGGTAAGATAAAAAGTATTGTACTATCTGATATTGTAATTTGGTCAAGAAACATAAATTGTTTATTTCTTAATTTTGAAATAAAAATGTAGTAATTTGCTTTGTTATAAATGTCGTTGAGAAAGAAGTAGCTTCTAGAATATGATTGTCATCAGTATTGCTATTAGCAATAGTAAGACTAAATGAATTTAAGGCAAAAAATAGAGCAGATCACTAATTTTTAAATTTGAAGGTATTGTCATAAAGTCAAAATACAAGAGGTGATTTAACAAGCCATTTATTTTATTAAAGTAATCTAAAATGAATTAAAAATGTTATTTTTAATAAATCTTTGTCATTGATAAATTTAATAAAATTAGATAATTTTGCTTATATTTGTGTTAAATATAAATATGTAATATTATAAAATAGTAATGAATGAATAATAGCTGCAGATATGCTTTTTGATAGATGTAAATTTGATCAAAAGAGCTTTCTATAGGATTTCATAATCTGATCACAGAATTTATAATCAAAAAATATCAATTGAATGCAATAAAGTATTCTTGATAAGAAGACTGAGTTAAAGACTACTTTAAGTTATTTGTTTGTAAGGAATTTTCTTTTAATTGTTGAAGTAATAGTGAAAATTTTATTCTTTATTTATTATCTTATAAAAGAACTATTCAAAAAAAGAGAAATCTAAATACCAAGGTAACAGGTAGATGATTTAAGATCTATTAGTTTAATCTATTCTTCATTGTAAGCAAGTCAAAAATGTACTGTGATACTATAGATACTGAGAAAAGTAAGACAGATTTGTTTCAATTAATCAGAATACTATTAAGTTAGTAAAAGTCATTAGCTATTATTAAGATTAATTTAAAATCATCTTTGAATTTACTGATTTATAGAATATCATCTATATAGGTGAGAGTGGTTACTTGCACAGATAAAGAAGTATTGAGGTATTACTGATATTTGGATATCATTCAGCTGACAAATTATAATCTAGAGTAGTATTTTAGATTTGACATAATAAAGGATCGTAATATATATACTAGAGAATTAGTGAAATAATTTCACTTTGATCAATACTTAAAATAACTGGATAGTAATTAGTATTATTATGAGCTGTAAAAATTTAATTAAAACAATTTAAAAATAATTAAATAACAAAATAGAGAAACTAAAGGAAAAGTTTTAAATAATTAAGAGCAGAAGTTAATGTAACTATATTAACTCTGTTATAGGCTTTTGATATATTCTAAAAAAGGATTTAAAGTTGCTTATTTTTGTAAGAAAGTTGATCATATTTAATATTATCTAGAATATATATTAATTTAAATGTTAAATGAATAAGTAAATCAGCGAAATTGTTTCTTTATAAAATAGAGTTTTTTGAATAAAACATCTAATAGTCGTTTGTTAATCAGTTTAACAATAGCTTTACAAGGATATTTTAATAAAATTATAAGATAAGTGTTATTCAAATTGTATTCCTACAATTTGAGCTTAGAAATCAGATATACGAAAGTCAAATTCTATTAGTCAGATATATAAGATAATTCAAGATAGATAAATTTTCTTTTTAATTTAGTTTTTGTTACTATGTGAAATATTAAGTTTAACAATATTTACATTAATTGAAATAATGAAGTGATCAGAAATGCTAAGATCAATATTAATAGTCTGAGTTTTGTTTAATTTTACTGCAATATATAAAGTAATATAAATATAATTGATTCTTAATAATTAATAGTTTGCAAAATGGTAAAATGAGAGAATTGTCAGTTAACATTATCATATAAAAGGTCAAAGGAATTGAAAAGTTGTAGATCATCAAGTTGAGTGAAAAAAAAATTAGCATTCAACATATTATTAGAACAATCAGGAATGATATTAAGATTGCCTATTAAAATAACTTTTATATTAAGATCTCTTGCTAATTTGATGACATTGTATACTTCTTTATATATTTGTTTCTGAAGGGTCAAATTTAAACTTGATATATAACAATTAATTAGTCTAATATGAAATTTATTACAAAATTAAAAATCAATGAAAATATAATATTCATGTTAACTGTAATATTTGTAAATGTAATCAGCAATATGTTTTTGATAAAAAGATTAACTCTAAAATCAGAAGTTTGTGATTATTAATCAAAGTTAAAAAAATGCGAATAAGAAGATAAAATCAATTTTGAAAATAATAGAATGTTGTTATTTGATTTAAAATTAATCTCTTGAAGGTCTATTATATCTAAATGGTTAATATGATAAGTATTAAGTAAGAATTATTATTTTTGTGGTTGAATGAATAAGCGAACATTGTAT